ACGTTATTATGGCGCCCGTCTTGCCAATGCTGCCCCCGTGCCGATGCCGCCTCCCATGCCGGCGTTGCCCTTGATGCCCCCCATGTTGATGTTGCCCTAGATGCCCCCCCATTGTTGCCCTAGATGCCTCCCAATGCCGCGCGCGCCCCCCATGTGGCTCGAGGGATGAGCAGGTCGCCACAGGGCGGCCAATATAGGGACATCCACAACTGGGCGTTCCGTGCACGGCACGTGCCGATGGCGACGCGCGGGCCAACCCTTCCGCGCCCCTTCTCCCATTACTCCTCCTCCTCCCCCCCTTCCTCTTGCTCCTCCTCCTCTTCCTCCTTTTCCTCCTCTCCCTCCTCTTCCTCCTCCTCTTCCTCCTCCTCCTCCTACGTCGCAGTCGTCGTCGTCGTCGTCGTCGCAGTCGTCGTCGTCGTCGTCGTCGTGGTATGCTGGCCTCCTCCTCATCCTCCTGCTGCTCCTCCTCCTCCTCCACCTCCAATGCAACCCTGACGGGTATGGGGTCGCTCGTAGAGGCCCGCGGGCGCACGTATAAAGCTGTAGTTATGCATGTGTGCGCGCGATGTGTAGACACATATATATATATATATATGTATAATTATAATTATGTTTTAATGCATTCACGTATTTATGTCTGTTTGTATTTTCTTGGTTTATTTAGTTTATAGGGTTCATGGCGTGCTGTTATGCATGTGTAGAGATGTTATAGTGTGTTTTAAATCCATATACTTGCGCGTGGATGCGCAGGAGTCGGTTGCCCCGCGTCATTTCCATTTCGAAATCCGCCTGCAGGGGGGCATGCCCGACTTGAGCCCGCCGAGGTGTCGCCTCCTGGACGTGCGCGGGCGCTTCGTGGGGGCTCCGAGTGCGGGGGTGCGGGGTGGGTCTGCAGAGGTTTCGCCTGGCGGGCGCCCGCGGGCGCACGTGGCGGGCGCCTTGCGCGCTGTGCTGGGTGTGCCGAGTGGAGCACGCATGGACGCAGTGGTGTGCCGAGCGCAGTGTCGGGCCCACATCGAGCCCGATTTGGAGGATGCAGGGATGAGGGTGTGGATGATGAGGATGATGATGATGATGAGGATGACGATCCTGATGATGAGGATGATGATGATGATGAGGATGATGCTTGTAAGCATGACGGTTGCCCCGCACCCCCCTCCAGCACCGCCACCCCCCCCAGGCGGCAGCTGCCGCTGTCATCGAGGGCTCAGACACGGAGGTCGAGCCCGGCGCCAACCCTGGGAAGGGCATCGACACGTTGGTGCAGGACGCGCTGCAGGACGCCCGCGAGCGCTCCATGACGGAGCAAGAGTTCCAGGGCGAGTTCGACCGCGCGCACTTAGACCAGACGCTGCCGCATGAGGAGGGCGCGGCCGCAGCAGTGAGCCACCTGCGCGCCAAGGCGCCGCCGGCCGAGGAGCAGCAGACGCAGCCAGCCGAGGAGCAGCGCGCAGAGAAGCAGACGGCCGAGGAGCAGCCAGCAGAGATGCAGCCAGCCGAGGAGCAGCGCGCAGAGATGCAGCCAGCCGAGGAGCAGCGCGCAGCGAAGATGCAGCCAGCCGAGGAGCGGCGCGCAGCGAAGATGCAGCCAGCCGAGGAGCAGCGCGCAGCGAGCATGCGGCCAGCCGAGGAGCAGCTGGCGCATGGACGGCCAGCCCCGCCCCCAGCCGCCCCGAGTCCTCGGAGGCCTCTTGGCCCGCCTCCGCCCTCGCCCTCGGTGGAGCAGATCGATTCGGACGAGGACAGGAGGGCCAAACGGACAGCAACATGACCTGGTCGAGTGGTGGGCCCCTCACCCAAGGAGCCCATGACCACAGTGATTGTTGCGTTCGCTTGGTCTCCTCGGGGGCCGCTGCAAGCTATTGTCACTTCGCCGAGGTCGCGCCCGAGGTCAGCGAACTGGGTGCCAGCGCCAGAGACGCCGCGGCTGGCAGACGCGCCATCGCACAATCCAGCGGACTCGGGCTCGCAGCTGCCGCTCGGGCTCTCGCAGCAGACTTCGGACGGGCAGGAGACGCCAGTGCTGCCATCCCTCAAGCGGTCGCTGACAGACGATGTGCAAGCGGAGACAAAGAAGTCCAAGAGGTGGCAGAGCAATCGCCTCGTGGGCCCGCGACGCGCGGAGGAGCGCGTGCCAGCGCCTCCGCGCTCGCAGCGGCCGTTCACGGCGCCGCCGCAGCTGGCGGACCAGCGCCTGCAGCAGCCAATCGAGAGCAGCCACATCGACAAGCAGCAGGCGATGACAGCGCCGAGCATCGACCAGATGGCGCGGGCACCGCGCGATGGCAACTGCGGCGTCAGCAAGGAGCGGCTGGTGGAGAAGCTGAAGCAGAAGTTCGACGAGCTGGTCGCATCCGACACGTGTGCGGACTTGGACGAGATGGGCAAGACCTTCCAGGACTTCTACAAGGGTTCCTTGATCGTGCAGCTGCGCGCGCTGCGCCCTGAGACCGCGGAGAAGCCTCTGCGGGATGACGACTTCGGCGCCGACCCGAAGGAGTCGGCTCTTGACAGGGAGGAGCGCCTCATGTGGGAGTCCTTGGAGGAGAGGGCGTTCAAGTTCAGCACGGAGAAGAAGAAGGGCAGCGCGATCGCGGGCAGATGGGCCAGAGTGATGGATACATCGAACGAGTGGTCCGAGAAGTACCTGGCGGCGGAGGGCTACCCGGCCAAGAAGGCGGTCCGCGAGGAGTGGGCGAAGTGGTCGTTCCACAAGTGGCAGAAGAAGTGGGAGTTCGGCGAGGCGCAGACGAGCAGCAAGAAGCAGACGATGAAGGGCGTCTACATGCCGCTGGCGAGGCTGGCGTGGAAGTTGGCGGGGGGGTCCACTGGTGCCAAGCTGGCATGCACATATGCTGGGAAGGCAGTGCTGATGGGGGGCATCTTCACGAAGTGGTGCAACATGACGGACTGCCTGTTCTACCTCTACGTGGAGCACTCGTTGGAGGACACGTAGCGGCAGAGCTTGACCAGCCACGAGGTCTGGATGGAGTCGGGCTGCGTCGGCGGCCAGCCACCTCCTGGCGCCGATGGCGTGGCGAGCGTGCCATGCGCTCCGTTGCCGCGCCCTGGCGCCGAGGCGTCCAGCGAGGAGAAGCAGGCGGCAGCAGCAGCGACAGGCGGCCCCGGGAACGAGGCCACCAGCGGCAGGGGAGGCGACGGCGAGGGCAACGGCACCAAGAAGAAGCTCGCCGTGAAGGCGCCCGAGTGGATGAAGGACTTCCGCAAGCTGCGCGCAATGTTCGCGCGGTGCACGACCCAGGCCCACGGGGGGCTCCGCTTTGATGGGGGAGAGCCAGGGCCGCGTGGCGACGCTGAGTTCGACGACGCCAGCGGCGCGATGATATCCGTCGCAGCCGATGCGATGAGGATAGCGACGGCAACGGGGAGTTGGGCCGAGAGGAGCGACGAGGCGGACGAGGGAAAGGTGGAGGGGGATGAGGGGGGGGAGGAGGAGGAGGAGGAGGAGGGGGAGGAGGAAGAGTAGGAGGAGGAGTAGGAGTAGGAGGAGGAGAAAGAGGAGGAGGAGGAGGGAGGAGGAGGAGGGAGGGGGGGGGGGAGAATCAGGATACGAATGAGAACAGCGCGAAATGCGGGGTGGAGGAGCAATGAAAGGTGGAAGCTAAGTCATGTCGGAGCGGGTGGGGTGAGACGCAGGAGCAGGGCGGGATGGCAACGCGACTGGAGTTATACGAGGGAGAGGGGGAGAGAGCGAGAGAGAGAGAGAGAGAGAGAGAGAGAGATATAGAGAGATAGGGATATATATATAGAGAGAGAGAAGGAGAGAGAGAGAGAGAGAGAGAGAGAGAGAGAGAGAGAGAGAGAGAGAGCGAGAGAGCGAGAGAGCGAGGAAGAGAGAGAGAGGGAGAGGGCCAAAGAGAGAGGACAGAGAGAGAGAGAGAGGGAGAGAGGGAGAGAGATAGAGAGGAATATTATGATATATATATATATATGTACAAACAACACTACAGAACGAGAGGGACGAGGAGGCGCGAAGACGATGATGAGGAGGTGCATGGGCGAGGGCGGGGGGGCGGGGAGCGGGCTGCGGGGGCGGGATGGGGCATCTATTCATGGGATGTGGTGGTCGAGCTTGGAGTCGGGAGCGATGGGCGTGCGATGGCGAGACGGAGAGCGAGATGTGATAAGAGCGAGCATGTCATGTGGAAGGGGAGGTGCCCACGCTGGAGGCGCTGATCAAGGCTGGCGCGGCTGGGGGCACGAACGAGTGAAGGTTCGCAGCAGGGAAGGAGACCGGGGGCGAGCTGGACAATGCTATCAAGCAGGTGCCCAGGGTAGGGGGTGGGGTTGGGTGGTGGGTGGTGGGGGGGGGGGGGGGGGGGGGGGGGGGCGCGTGCTCCGTCTCTCCTCGCCCCCTGCCATCAGACGCCCCATCCATTCCCAGAGCAATAATGGCTAACGCCAGCCATGTCCTCGCCATTCCCGTTCATTTCCATCCAGACATCCCACGGCGCCCCGAGAGGGTCTATAGTCAGCCCACACGGTTTCCAAGAGGCCCCCAAGAGGCCCCCAAGAGGCCCCCAAGGCGCACAAGGAAGATATGGCGCCCGTTAGGAAGCCCCCACGCCATTCGAGGTTGGGCGCGCGTTCGGCTCGGCGCTGGATGCGCGCCGCGCCGAGCGCGCACGCTGGACGGGGCTTGGGCGCGCCCGCGGGCGCGACTTTGGGCGCGTCCAAGCCCCGTCCAAATCCAAGACGGTGGGTTCCTTTCAAAATGATGGGGTTGCAACGCGATCACGAATTGCGAAATCTGCCCCCCCCCCCCCCCCCCCCCCCCCCCCCCCCTTCCCGCCCACCGCCACCGCCGCGCGTGGGCTGACCCCGTCGAAACAGCATTGTTAACGCCATCGGCGCGCTATGTGGCACCATGACGACTACCAACCCCCAGGCCCTTGCCCCCCCCCCCCATGCCCTGCTCCGCCCGTCCCACGTGCGTAGCCATTTTGGCTGTTCGCGGCTCGCCACTCCCGCGGAGCATGGCGCAGCAGCGCTCGCGGTGCAAGGGGTCCGAGGAGCTGGAGGCCGAGCTGATCAATCATGTCAAGGAGGCGGACGAGCTGGACTACCCGCATGGGCTCACAGACGACTGCGACCCTGACGCGCTGAGCGAGCGGGGGGACATGCTCTTGGGCGTCCGCAGAGCCATGTACCCTCACATGGCCATATCGCAGTCGAAGGCCGCCCAACTCTTCGAGAAGGTCCTCTAGGAGAACGGTGCTGCGTGGGCCCTCGGCGACGAGGAGAGGGACTGGACGGCGCCCATGGCGAAGATGCTTCGCGCCATGTTGAGACACGTCCAACCAGCGGTGCTGAAGAACATGAAGCGCGAGGGGCGCTATCCCGACTCCTGCGCGCGGGCGCGGCCCTTCGTTGAGCAGATGAAGAAGCTCGACGCGGCGAAGGGCGCACCAGCCGCCCATTTGCGTGGGCGATAGGGCGCGGACGGGCGCAATGCCCACGGTGGCGGGATATGGCCAGAGGGCGTGGAGACGGAAGGAATCCGCGGCCATGGTCATCGCGCAGTCCGCGCATCATCGCCCATGCAGCTGCGCTCGCTAGAGTAGCCGACGTACACGTACTCTGTTGACATGGTCACCAAGAGAGCGTACCGCCTGGACCAAGGCATTGCCAACCCAGCGCCAGAGTTCGCCATGCCGCTCCAGAACGACCCCTTGGCCGCCGACCACGACGAGGTGATCGCCAAGTTCAAGGGCGGCGCCAGCGCGGTCGTCGCGGGCCTTGTGTGCAAGATCATCAGGGAGTGGAAGCAGTTGGACAATGGTGGAAAGTGCCAGAAAGGTAGCAATATTATCGTCGAGCTGGTCAGTGGCACGTCCAAGTTCCAGCTGAGCAAGTGGGCGAGGCATGGCGGCCCCGAGATGGGGATCTGGGGGTTTCCGAAGCAGGGCAAGACACGCATGATCGTCAACTTCGCGCCCCACGCGGGCATGGTTGGGCACGAGGAGATGCTGGAGAAGCAGGCAAGATTGCTGGCGGCTGGGAAGACCAGCAAGGAGGAGATCGAGGTGATCAAGCGCGCATCCATCAAGAAATTCAAGGATGAGCAGAAGGAGACCGATACGGCGAACGTCTGCCCCATGAGACGACCAGTGGCGGCCACCGGCAAAGAAGAAGAGCAGCGCCGCCAAGATGCCCAAGCAGGTCGTTGATCAGGGCCTTGATGATTTCGATGGCGACGAAGATGCCGACGAACTTGCCGACGTGGAGGGCTCACAGGACGAGGGCCAAGAAGATGCATCCGAGCAGGTTGACGAGTCGGCGGGGATGTCCGAAGGTGAGAAGAGCGACCACGCGGACGGCAGGGGCGGCAAGGGCGACGAGGCCAGCACGGGCAGCAGGGGTGGCAAGCGTCACACATTAGACTCGACCACCATCGCCGATGTCAAGGCTGGCATGCTGAAGCGACCTGCAGCACCAGGCCCCCGCTGCGCAAAGAAGGCGCCGAAGCGCGCGCCAGCTCCGCCCAGGGGCATTGCCATTGCTGGAGAGGGGGCGGCATCCCATGAGGCACGCGCAGATTTCGGTAGCCCGCGCCCGTCGCGTAGGCGGCGGATCAACGCCAAATCGCCTGACGTGCGCGGCAGAGCTGAGTCGCCCAAGCCTGCGCCATCGGCCGATGCACCGATGCCGCCGCCACCGCCCCCGCCGCCTGCTGGCAAGACCCTGGATTCACCCCTGGCCGCGCTGGGCACCAGGGCCGCCGCGGGCGACCTGCCCCGCGGCGCCGCCGACGCCGACCCAGGCGGTGCATCCAGCGATGTTGAGATGGAGATCTTCGGGTCTGGTGGTGGGCTCTTCGGCGCCGTGTCGAGCTTCAGGCACTAGCGCGCGGGCGCCGCAAGAGACGGGCCGCTCGGTCAAACTGGCCACTGCGCAGCGCAGTGCGACACTCTGGTGCAAGCTGGGGCGCACCTTGACAAAGAAGTCGTGGCAGTCGGTCACGTTTGCCCATTGTTGGAATCCACATGCCGCCCCACTTCCCCTCTCCCCCCCGGCCCCCCTTCCCAGTCGCATCGTCGCTGGGGCTCGCCGCCCCATCGGCAACATTCGCGTGTTCCCATCCTGAACTCCGAGGTTGGGTCATAGTTCCCTCCTCCACCCCAGGGCCCATTCACGCTTGCACCAGCGCCAGCTGTCTTCATTTTTCGGAGACACCCTGAGGGCCGTCTGACGTGGCGGAGGAAGCACGCGGCGAGACGGCAACGCGCGAGGGGGCGAGGACACTCGGTGGAGAGGCGGGCGGGGGCATGACGAGTAGCGACGAGGAAACGGGAAAGGCGAGTCATGCGGTTGCGACACGGCGCACCCCCCTTCCCTTGTTCATCTACCATTACCCCTTACACCCGCTCGTCCCTGCATTGCCCCCGCCATCCCCTTATATCGCCATTCCGCCGTTCTCAAGATCGCGCTGATCGAACTGCGACCTCCTGCCCCCCGTGGTCACCCTCCTCGTCGGGGCCCCACTGATCAGGCCAATGGTTGTTCGCGCGAATCCCAACCAACCAACCCAGAAGCCCCGCCCACAAGAGCTGACGGGAAATGCAACGCATATACGCATATATTGAACCAGTGAAGTCAACGAGAGGAGGGGGAATGCGTTGAGTCGCGTCGGGGGGCTTATCGTTGAGCATCGAAGGTCTTCTTGGAACGGTTGGACCTTCCGCGGGCGTCGCGGAGTCCTCTCAGGGCCCTGTGGGGGGTATGCTGGTGCCCCTTTGGGGCTCGTTGGGTGGCGCGCGAATTCGCATGGGGTTTTTTGCGTGCGCATGCGGGCCCTCGCCCGTCGTGGTGTTCCCGCGGTGCTCTCTCAGCGTTCTCTTCGGAGCTCTGGGGCGTCTCCTGGGGCCGTCTTGGATGCCGTCGATCAACGGAGGGGGGTGCCGCATGCTCGCCGCCCTGCTGGGGTCATCTGAATAGCCTCTCGTGGGGATCTTGTGCGCCCGTGGGGCCGTCGCGGGGGCTCACGGGCCCCTCTTCGAGCTCTCTTGAGCCATCTTGGGGCTGCCTTGAAGCTTCAAAATCGCATCGGAGGCAAGAAGGAGGCGACGCCAACATCGCTGTTCCGCCCTATGGTTTTTCGAATGATGCTGGCTACTCGGGGAAATCCTGCGGGGTCACCAAAAACCTTCGGATCCGTCGCGTGGCCTTCATGGTGCCTCTTGGCGCAATGTTGGCTTTTGAGCGATATTGGGCGCCAGATTGGGCTCTTCCAGGCCCTCGTGGAACCGTCTTGAGCCATCTCGCACGCCCTGGCCGCTCGCGACCCCCCCCCCCGCCCAGGTCTTTGGGCGGGCAACGGGGGCGGGGGTGCAAACGCCCCCCCAAAGGGCATGAGGGGTTTTCTTGGAAGGGGGGATGCTGGTTCGTTGGGCCGCCTGTCGCGCGTGAGGCTGGTGGGATATCTGCGGTCGCGCGCCCCCATGGCTGTGGACAGAGGGTGAGTGACGGGGCCAGGCAGAACGGGCGCGGGCATCGCATAGAGGGGAGGCGGAGTTGGAGCTCAAAGTCGCCATCAGCAGGGAGTGCATGACCACGAAGAACCTCAGCGAGGTCAGGAAGCGGATGGCCGACGCCGGGTTCGAGGTGCTCATCGAAAAGCTGAACCAGGATCCGGGGCGCCTCTTGCTTGCCTCCCCAGGTCGCCTCGTCCACTATCAGCCCTCCCCCCCGACCATTTGCTCGTGCGGCTCACCATTATCACGTGGCCCGCCGCTCTCGGTTCCCCGAACTCCATCCGACCCTCTCAAGAACCCGCGCACCATGGTCGCCCAACATTTTCTCGTGGCGGGCCAGCGCCGCGCCCCGACCCCCCCCCGGGAAATCCTAGACGCTTCGCGCATCCCCGCCGGCCCACCCAGAAACGATGCCCAGGCGAGTTGAGAGGCGATCAGAAACGTGCTGGAGCAAAGAAGGGGACGGCTGGACCGCGTGGCGGAGAGAGGGGGCGAACGATAATATTAGATGGCCGGATGGATGGATGAGGGAGCATGGGGAAGGATGATGAATGGGATGGGGAGGAGGAGGTGGGGGAGGAAGATGGCAAGGGATGGGAGGAGGAAGGAGGAGGAGGAGGAGGAGGAGGAGGAGGAGGAGGAGAGCAAGCAAAACGGCTAGATGTCTCTTGGATGCTTCTCGGAGCCTCCTGAGGTATCTTTGGGGCGCCTTGGGGCGTATTGGGGGTATCTTGGCGGTCGTTGGGGGCTTTTCGGCGTTCTGGGTGCATCGGGGGGGAGGGGTGGTGGTGGGGGTGGGGGCGCTTGGGGTCCTCTTGGGGGCCTCCTAAGGGCCTCCTGGGGGCCTCGTGGGGCAATCTTGGGACCTCTCGGTGCCTCCTGTGCGCTTCTGTGGGCCATCTCGGATGAGATCGATCAATAAGCGGGTGCATTAATTAGCGCCCCCCCCCCCCCCCCCTCCCCCCGATGCCAAACATGGGGCCAACAATGAAACGCATGATGTTGGCTTCCTCGCCGAAGCCGTTTTGGGCGCTCCAGCGACTCGCGGAACCCCCCGCCCAGGTCTTGGGGCGGGAGCGGGGGGGGGGGGCGCCCTTCCCCGAAGGGTGAACATGAGGGGTGGAAGATGAGACTGCCTAAATCACATACGCGCAGAGGGTTGGTGGGATTCGTGCGCAGAATCGCCTCTCAGAGCTACCTGCACCGCAGTGTACGCATGTTTTGGATGATTGGGAGCGATGGGGGGCGCGCGAGGACGTCGCCCCGACGGTGGAGACGGCCGTGGCAGAGGTCGCGTCGATCTACTGCCAGACGGCTGCCCGTGCCCCGAAAGAGACGAAGAAGAGGAAGGCCCCTGCAGCTTGAGCCTAGGTTGTAGTAAGCAGTTTTTGCTGCGGGCGCAGGCGACGCCCCAGCCAACCCTCACCGAACCGCAGAATCTATGAAACTGCCAGAAAACCCTCCCCGAAACGTAGCATCTAGGACAGATGACGCCAGAACGCCGACCAAGTACCGTCCAAGTACCGTCCAAAACGGCTACCGTCCAAGTACCGTCCAAAAAGGCGAAAACTTGTAATAATATAAAAAATAATTAAAACCCATGGTCATGCCACCACCGCACCGACCAAGTACCGTCCAAGTACCGTCCAAGTACCGTCCAAAAGCGCCCACCCCCCCGTCCGAACCCAATTGCGGCGGCGTTCAAGCCCTCGCTGGTGGCCGAACCGTAATTTTAGCCCCGTCGCCGTGTAAAAACTATTGCCCGTGTGGGCAGGGGGGGGGGGGGGGATATATGGTTTCGGATAGTTTTCCGCGGATTTGGCATCTGGAATGCGCGGGTGCAGGGCGGATGCCAGCGGTGGAGGGGGGGGGGGGGGTATCCGAGAATCTGGTAGTTGGGGGTTGCCGCGCCATCATGCGCAGATTCATGGGCGCGCTGCGTGTCTAGTCCCAGGCTCTGG